GTGTAAAAATATTGTGTACTCCCAAAATCCTTAACATTTAGAGTAAAGAAAACATTTTTTCCAAAACTACAATTTTGTAGAATTGCAGTTGAAAATATTCGAAAACTTGGTTTTGTTCTCTTTGTTGTTTTATGGGAATCACTATGCAACAATTAATTGTATAACTTTTATAATACAAAATCGTTAAAAAAGTGAACAATACAAAAAACCAAACAAAAAGTAAATAACTTTAAATATTGCTTTCTACTTAAAGCCTTAAGTTTGCCATGAAAAATATTTTCTGTTGTTTTATTGGTACAACACTTTGGAAATAGTTTAATACATGCCATATTTCTTGAAAATTGTATAAGTTTTGGAAATTTTTTTTTCAAAATTAGTGTTCCAAGTTACGAAACTTTTGCTTTATTTTTTGTATTGAGGTTATGTGCTTTATAAAAAACATTTTGTTTGTTCTTGTCATACAATCTGTTGTATAGTATATAGAAACTTAAGAAATAACCACATTAAATATATTGAGCCTTCGATTTTAATAAATTTTAATAGTTTATTTGGAAAAGTAACTTTGCCAAAGTCTCATAAATACAAAATTATATTATAAAATTCTTATATTCCTTTTCAAAAAGCTAGTTAATTTCTTTACTCAGTCGCAGTGCAAATGAAAGTCATAGACACTAAAACGACTCTTAAGCTAGAAAGATTCAAAAATATATGTATCTCATAGAACTGGACTCGACATAAAATTGTAGAACTTTCCAAGCGGATGTTGTAAGAAATTACGTTACTTAGAAACAAAAAAAAATTTTAACCAAGGAGTGAAAATAACGTTACTTCTTTATCAAATAGACATTTCACCAGAAATTTACTTCAAATACAACGATTAGTTCCATAAATATGACTTGGCCTGGCAATATGGGTCACCTCATCTTCATTAATATAGCCTCCTTTAAATAAAAAGCTATATTGGCTGGACGAAAGTATTGAGTTAGTAGTAAAATTGCTTTTAATAAATTTTAGAATTAAGATTACCTGTAATAAATTTCATAGCATAACAAGAAAAAATAATACAATGAACACATATTTAATCATCAATAAATATCGTCGAAGGAGTATTATTTTTCATTTATTACGCTATTTAGTCAGTTTCCAAACATCTAATTCGAAAATTTAATTCAATTAACACATTTAGACAAAACTAGACAAAAAAAAATTGCTTTTTAGCACTTTTCCAAAAAAAACTTTGAAAAAAGTGCTTATTAGTTTCACTCTGTCCGTCCGTCGGTCCGTCCGTGGACACTTTTTCTGTTTACAAAACTTCTACACCCTTGAAGATAGAAAGCTGAAATTTCATATGTACATAGATCTTCAATAGAAACTTATTTCCGTACAACAAAATTTTTACCTATCTCCCCCCCTCTAGAAGTTATACCCCCCAAAACCCTAAAAATGGCCTTTTTAAATATTTGTTGCAATGAAACCATAAGCATTTTTGAAATTTTTCAAATGCAGAAAGGCAGTGGCTGCCTTCCCCTAGCGCGGTATACTATAGTTAAATTTTAGAAACACAAAATGGCCGTTCAAATTTACCGTTATCTAAAGTTCTTTTTTTCCAAATATTTGATGTCGTTTTTCTTCTAGACCCCATAATGTAGAACTTTGAAATTTAGGGGCTTTTAGACATTAACAAATAGTTCATTTCGTTAGAAGAAAATTTTTTTCCATCTCCACCCCCTCTCAAGTTATCGCCTCTTGAAATTAGTAAAATTTGAATTTTTGACACCTTATGTTTCCGAAACCGCAAGCTTTTTCAAATTTTTATAAACGCAAAAAGCTAACGGTAAATTCCATGAAATTAAAAAATATAATTATTTTTCTTAACTCACACAATTAACCCTTAAAATCGAGCATTATGTTAACCCCTTTTTATATTAATTTTTGCTTTATTTCAAAGACTGCATATATGTGTCATCCTAAATATATGCAATCCTAGAAATAGTTTTATATATGAATGAAAATAATTTTGATAGTGTGGTAGGTACACATAGACTGTATTTAAAAGCAGAATTTTCACTTGTTGAAGGGAAAAGTGCTACAACACAAACCATTGGTTTGAACTTCCAACTTTATTAACTGTTTCATTAGATTTGTTCTGAACTTCCAAACGCGTAATCAACTGAGGTTGATTAGAAATTAAGCTAGAAAGGTTATACCGTCTTTGTCATTTGAAAGATCTTGAAAAACCTAACGAAAAAAATCTCGCTAAACTTAAAATAGGCAGATATCGAATTTTGACCAAGACCGAAATCGACTTTTTTTTCTTATTTATTATTTTACATACATATTAATAAATTAGTAAATAAAGAAGGTAACGTATATTGCAATGGCACAAAATTTTTCAGATTGCTCTGCCATATTGTAATAAAGCCAATAGGTGGATATGGTGGTAACTGAAGTCCTACATCTTGAAAACGGTAACATATAATAGGAAAAGAACGATTGCAGATTTGAAAATAGCGTGTTTACAAACATATTGCCTTATGTAGCCAGCTTAAAAATGTGAAAAATTGCATTGTACCGAATAACGCTCAGCCGCGATATGTACATAAAAGACAAAACTGAAGTTAAAAACGCTTTAACAAAAACAAAAGCGATTGTTCGATAAAACTCACAACGAAATGTCATAATAAAGTATCCCGCAATTTTACTCTTACTCAACAGTACACCCTTATTTTTAAACTGAATGATTTACAGCTCAGGCATTTTTTTCTAAATTTATTGAAAACTATATGGTAATAAAAATTTTTTCAATAAATTATTTTCAATATTATTAGATCTATACAAATACGGGAAATATACTATTAATATGCATAAGTGCTTATTTGTCATACATCGTTACAAAGCGATAAATCGAAAATTTCAAGGGCCATGAAAATTAGTTTTGAAACTTCAAAACACAAACTGACTTTTCATTTTTGACATGACTGTTTATTGTATGTTTTCGTTTCTTCATTCCAAAGAGGGAAGGGACTAAAAAGAACAGTCAATGACAGCTTCGCAGAATATTAAAAGTGAGTAGGATAAACGAACATAACAGGAAAAAAAAAAACAAAAAAATTAAATTTCTTTAACTAAAGCGGAAAACAGAATCACTACGTATATTATAGAATTCGTAAAATTTAATAAAATATTTACACGTTCTTGCCTTTCAAATTTTCCATTAAAAAAAAATTGTGATACCTTAGCAAGGTTCTAAACATGTACTTCGTTTAATGACAGTATTATATCGACTTTGAAATCATCGATATCTGAAAACTATCGATAGTGCCATCGTTAAAGAACTTACATAACTATAAATACCTTTATGGAATATGAAAGTGTATACAAACACAAATTTTTTTATATTTTACCTTACACATATTTAGATATTTCCAACTTAAGCAACAACAAAACTAAATAAAATTCTTGTAACTCAATCAATTATTTCGATTGCTACTTTTATGAATAACAGTCTGGACACTGAGAATACATAAGTACATGCATTTATGATCCTTAAAATACAGAAGAGAAATATGATATTTTAAACTAAATTGTCCTCAACAGTTTAAAAAGGGAATTCTGATAAAATTCTCTAGTGATTCCAGATATTAACAATTTTTTTTAGAAACAAGTATTCTTTTTAGAAAGTTGATGCAGAACGATTACGGCCAGCATTAAAATACATATGAGAACAATATTATCCTGTTAGTAGAAAAAGCATTGCAAGGAAAACTATTTATAAGTATAAATATGAAGTTTCTGAAGACAATATTTTAGTACTTACGTTTATGTTATAATTAAATCGCATTTATAAATTTAATTGACATGACCGTTTCAAAATTGTAAAACCAAAATTATTTCAAATTTAAATTGAACTAGTCAATGTTCCCAATTTTTTCAACTAAAAGGCATTAGGCATAAAGGCCTTTTCAAGCCGCGTAACTAATACTTAAAAATGACTTCTTTTCGATTTCAATGAAGTTGAAAGAAGTACGAAGGGGTGTTCTTGCTATGACACGTTTTTATATTGTTGAATGTATGGTGCACATTGAAAATCTATAGAAATGATGTTTTCCAAGAAGATTTCGTTTACATCACTGTTTGAAAAGACTACTCAGAGGAGAGTACAGAGGAAGTTTAAAAAGTCGTTCACGAATTTCTACAAACTAAATGTACTTGAATGGCTTAACCAGATATTTTTTTTAAAACGGAGTTTGTGTTTGAAGTTTTACATCATTTTGTAATTTAACTAAAAATGCCATAAAAATTTTGAAAAAACCGAATGTGGTGAGCACACGATCGACCGCAAAGTCCGTATTTTCTAGTTTAGCGAATTTTTTACAGCTGAGTATGAAAATGCTCCAGTCTAAGGACGCTAGTAGGCTTTTAGTTAACATTACTTGAAAAATGTAAATTCGGCTCTTAGTAGAGTTTCGCTTTCGGATTTAGTTTCGGTAACAATCAGAAGTCAAGTTACAAGAAATTCCATCAATTAGTTCCGTAGATATGATAAAAAATGTAAATTGATACCTAGGAAAAATATTAAATTTCAAGGAAATTTAATTCTCTTAATGTGCGCAAAAATGTTAAATCGTTCCTCAAAAAGTCCCGTTCCCAAATCCTGATATATCCCAAAAGTTGATCAATCCGTGATAGTACACACATTACACACGTGCACACATAGACAGGCAGAAAGACCAACAGATAGACCGATATTTCTCTAAATATAGATTTTTCACACTTCTCTGCCATGGAGAAGTGCGTTCCCACCGAAAGCTCAACATCCGTATCATCAATTTGTTACCATCACACGACCTCTCTTACTGTATGCAATGGGCCGGTAAAAATATTGGTTCATTTAAATAAATGCTTAATTTTAAGACAATTAATTTTATAGGCTTACATTTTTCTGCTGTAACGTTACAATTACCACATTTATAAATATTTAAATATATAATTACATTTACCTTTGAAAATATGAACCAATACACTAGCTGGTTGAGCATTGCTCGCCAAACATGTGAAATTTCCAGAATGTTCCCTTCTAGTCCGTTGAATGACAAGTTCTGATGACTGAAAATCTTTTCAAAAAAAAATATACGTTAATTAAAAAATGTTGTTTTTATTTTTATAGTATGCTAATGGATTTATAAACATGAAAAATAATGAAATTATTTTGTGTGCAAATAATAAATAAACTCAGAAGTTGTTAAAATTGTCTATAGCTTCTTCAATGGAAATTTAATTTAAGTATATTTCTGTGAATGAACTGGCTCTAATAGAGTCAATATGGGTAATAGCCCATGATTGAGAAACTTCTGTTAGTGAATCTATTCAAAATTTCGAACTAATAAACTAAAAACTAATCATGTATATGTTGAAGATTTTTAAATCTAATAAACTTACCAGCTTCTGTTGACACATTTATTCCACGATCAATATCATAATTAATCATTCTATTATCATGATACCAAAATATAAATTCCGAAGGCTGAGTATTTTGTAAAACATGACATTGAAGCCTTAATGTAGATCCAGGTGTTAAATATCTTATCGAAGGTCCCGATATTTCAGCACGTGCTTCTGTTGTTGTGTCAAGTAAATTGATTTCATTGATGGTTAATGTATGAAAAACGGAAATTAAAAAAGGATAAACTTTAGTAATTTTATTTTTAATAAAAATTTTTGAAATATGAGCATTTTGGGTATGCAAATATGGTAGGAGGTAAAACTTGGTTTAGTTCTGTCATTTATTTTCTAATTTCGAAAAATCAAAAATTTTCAAAAGCTGTTCAACAACAGTATTATAAGCGAAAGGGTAAGTACAAATTCAACAATATTATAAGCGGAATGTTACGCTTGCGTCATGGAGCTTCAAAGGTACGGCGGTCAAAAGTGAAAGGGATGAAGATCTGCATGCTACGAAAAGTAAATCGGATCGGAGAGGAAGTTCAGTTAATATAGTAACTCTAGCGACTGGATTATCGATTTATTTCCGAATGCCGATACTATAGACACATGACGGAGAAATTCAAATGCATCCACTTTTTACGCATAACAGAAAGAAGTACAATTACAAAGTAGGTTAGTGTCATAATGTCCTTTCAAGTTTACCTAATCACCTTCGTGAAGAAAGTATAATAAACCTCGAAGTGGAGCGGAGTGATAAATTTCCCATCGACAATTATTAACGATTGTATTTCAGTGATAGTTAAAAGATAAGCAATAAAATTCAGAAAAATAAATTAATAAATAGTTTGTTAAATTCTCAAATACTTAAAATTTTGTACAAAATGCTATTGAAAAACAAAATAATTTGTTGCTCTAAATAAAATGTTTGTAAATATTTTAAAATTTTCCACAACAGTTTACTTCAAATAAATTTTTGTTTTAAATTTAAACATTTGTTTTCTTAATTGATTGGCCAGACGCTTAATAAGAATTCTCACCTTTTGTCGAGGTTCACTCATTCGACTACGTTAGGAAATCTTTTAGTTAGTTTCTTTTAACAGTTCCAAAGTTTTTCTTTTCAATAATTCATTTTGTTTATGCAGCAACAGAGTGGTTACCTTATATAAAGATGCAACCACAACTGCATTTAAAATTTTAAAGAATAATGAAAAAATGTTCTTAAAGTTGCAAAAAAAAATTTTTAGTGGAGAAAAAACCATAAAAGCAAAAACTTTACTTTCCCAATTTATAAAAATAGATGTCAAATTTTCAAACAAGTGAATGTAGTGGGAACTCGTTAATCATAAATATTAGTTTGTTGCCTCATCTCTCCTTTTTTGTTGCATTTTCGGTAATACGTATATGGGTTTTTCTTCAGTTTTTTATATAATTTCTGTTCTATATGGAAGTACATAAGTGTATGTATGTTATGTATATAATGTAGTTTTTATAAAAAGAATACAATGTAAACCACAATTTCAAGTGCTCTTTAAAGAAAAGTTAGATGTTTTTTTTTTGGTTTTTAAAGAAATTTTTATTCTACGAAAAATAGAAGGAAGACAAAATTCGTTTATTTTATTGGCGAAAATATAAAAAAAAAAACAGAAAGTGAGTAATTGCAGTCTTATCACTGACTTAATTTTAAATTAAGCAAAATATTTATATTTATTATTGGATACATCACAAGTTCAGATTTTTTTCTTCGCAACGCTGTATGATGTAGCTGTACAAGCATACATTTTCATTTAATGAAATAAAATTAATCGCAATACAAAAAATTTTGGTGAAAAAAAGAATTCGTTTGTCAAAATGAAATACGGTAGACATGAAGGGCTTATTGGAGATCAAACAATGTTTGAAAAAAAATTCTGAATTTAAGAAAGATTTGTTTAAAAATTAAAGTGGCAAATAAAAACTTTAAGCTGCACCAAGTAAAAAAGTTAATTTTAGTTTTTGGCGAAATTGAATGTCATCTTATTTTAAGCTTTAAACTCTGAATGAATCGTATTCAGCTATAATAAAAAAAATATTTAAAATTAATACGCTTAATATAAAAAATTTGTTAAGCTAGTTGTTACATTCTCGATAAACCTTTACAGGGTGATTCACTAACAAGGACTATTAGAAGGACTAGCATTTTTTAGAGCATTGAAAATCAGCTGAACTTTAAACATTTTTGGTGATACAAGGATTTTGTTGTTCATATTATATGACATGAATTTTTTAAAAAACCTTTACAGGATCTTTCCTGAAACCAAATACTTTACTGAATCTATTTGCAAAAATATCGTCCAACAAGACTTCCAGAAATTTCAAAACTTTTGCAACTATATGCAGTATGATCATACAAGTCCAATTTCATAAAAGACTTGGTTCAAGATCTTGAACTATGAAAAACCGATTTTAAAAAAATTAAATTTGTGAATTTATTTTGCGACATGATGGTCTGCGTGCAGGAATCTGTGCTGAATTTCAAGTTTCTAGATCTTTGGGTTCTCAAATGAGAACGCTTTAACAAATTGCGGCTGGATGCAGGCACGAATCTTGTTAGATCGGCTAATGTTTTGACATTGAGCCAGAAGCAAGAATGTATATAATTTATGGGCTCGACAATCTTTCCTTCTTGGTATTACAAGCGCCATGGTAAATTGAATTTCTCCTTACGTAATTTGAGGTTATATAATAAAGCCAATTTTTTTTTGATTTTTGTATAAAATGCGCTATTCTTAAAAGCGCAAGTACAACCCACCCTTATATTTCTACTTAAATATTAATTTTTTGTATTTTTGGGCAACGCTTAAATTGGTGTTTGAAATTAAATTGACTATAATTTAACTTTTCTGTTTTTTTTTTTTAACTTAGGAACATTTAAAATTTTATCGACAGAATTTTTTTTTCCTCTTTTATATTCTGATACTAGCTGTTACAAGATTGATATCATTTAAACACAACACAAGCTTCATTGTTCTTTTTGCCTCCGGTCACTTTTTTGTTATTATATACGCGTTCAGTTATCAGAATATTGTTCAGTTTATTCTACAATTTTATAATGGTAACTTCCTTCTTCATACATTCACACATACATAAGAAAATTATAAGAAAAAAGAGAAAACAAATTGTAATTTTTTCTCCTTATCTTTCTTCATGATAATTTATAACAAGTTGCTTTGATTTAGTGATGCTTTTTATAATGAAAAATCTTCATTCATACGGTACATTCCTTTTATATAAATTTTGTATTACGAAACAATAAAAAAAGCAAAAAAAAAAAAGAAAAAAATCAATGGCATAAAATTATTTCCTTTTTTTATTATTTTTTTTTTTTGCTTGTTTTTGTTAACAGCCTGTTTGCAGCATTTTCATGAAATTTATGTGATTTTTAAAGTATATCGTATACCTTAAAATTAAATTGGGCCACAAGTAAAGCCATAGAATGGTTTGTAGCATCCCGAAAGTGAGAGGTTAAACAACTGTGTGAATTGCAAGTAAAAGAATAAAGAAAAAACCTTGTAATAAATAATTGTTTTTTTTTTTTTTTTTTTTTTTTTGAAGAAAATGAAAGGGTAAAAAATTTAATAAAAAACTAAGTGTAAAAAAAAATATATAAAGTGATAAATATGATAAAAAAATTATTTGAAAAGAAAAAACCAACGAAAAATTTTTACATTCATTTTGAGATTTGTGGTTTCCGGGAATGAATTGCTCACTCTCCTTTTTTTTAGATTATATATGTACATATATATTTATATGAAAATGATAGTATTGCATCAATGTCTATAACTGTTCGAATTGTGTTCACAGAATATCAAAAACTTATCGTTTCATTTGTAACATTCTCCCCCAAACTTCAATCCTCCAACGATTCCTATCATACCGGAATCAAATTTAAAGTCCAATTAATCCAATTCATAATTAATAAGCTATGAGAATTCTATATAATTTAGATTTGAATATCTGCCGTGCAAGTGATTAACCCATATCTTAAAAACTGTTGGTGTTGAATATGGTAAAATTTTCACCTCTTTCATAAATAAACTAATCTAATACAATTTTAAGTAGTTTTAGTAGTTGTATAAATTAGATAAGTATTATGGACATTATTCAGTGGAAATTGGTTACAGTTTATCGTAACTGCCATAGAATTTTAATTTAACATACTTATTTTGAGTTATGAAGAATTAATAGTTCATACTGGATTCATAGAGTTTCCAAGGTCAATTCCGCCTATTCTCGTTTTTAATAAATTTGGTTTAAAAATTAAAACCAAAGCAAAAAACGAGAAATTTTAAAAAATACGGTAATAATAATTTAACTTTGTTCATTTAATTGTAAGTTTTGAAAACATTTACAACAGTATCGAAAATGTGATCTGCAACAAAAAGTTCCAATCAATTCCGTCTTTCACGGTTTTACTTTCAGTGAACCAAGAATTATTGTAAATTTTTTAATAAACATAATAGGTTTTAAAATTGGTTGGAATGGAAGTGTTTCTAAATAATTATACGATATATTAACATGCAGATCTTATATAAAATTTTCGGAAAGTCAATTTTAAGCACTGAATTTCTTCAATTATACATTTAATTTTTTGTATACATTTAATTCATATAAGTTTCAGCGATACGCAATGCGCCCTGAGCATAATTTTGAAGAACATAATTTGGTCTTAAATGGACAATAAATTCAAATAAAGCAGTTATAAGAAACAAGAGTCCAGCTTCTTTCCAAGGTTTCTTTAATTTATCACACTTCTTATAGTGTTTCCCAAGTTTATTTCTCTCATATTTTTTGAAATGTGCTTCCCTATTAACCCTTGATTAGATCATATCTTTATTTGTTTTTTTTTCCTCGTTATTTCTTTGTTGTGATCGTGATTTTTGATTTTTATTGTTACCTTTTTTATGGCTTCTATAATCTATTAAATTGAGGCGTGTTTTTCTAGTGTGTGGCTAGATTTAGAGACACAAGTTTTTTAAAGTAAAAATTTTTTTCGTAATTGATAACATATTGAATCACAAAACCCATTTATTAATTCATATTAAAATTGACAAAAGCTGTGACCTATTTTATCAAACGCTTTACATCTGTTTCAAAAAAAGTTTTTAAAAATACCATTAATTATTTATTTATGC